GTTAAACCTGACTGTGATTTGGAGAGCGAGCAGGATAATTTTTCCAGCTCGTAATTAGGTATTCAAGCCAAGGCCGAGCTGGTCACTGTCTGCATGTCCTGTTCTAATTAGCCCAAATTGAACAATTTGTTTCTCCTTTCAAACCCCAAATCATCCCCTAATCTAATAGTCATTTACATCCGAGGTGACAGCAAGCGACACTGATAGACCTTCTACAGCTTTGTATAACACAAGCACATCACAAATGTGTTACTCATAATCAACACGAACAATTAAGATTCAAGAAGTGAGATATGTAAAAGTTAGCTTTTTTCAGACTACATTTCCCATGAAAAAGAAACTTCTGGTTTATTGTAATACGTCTTTCTCTGACATTCTGGCTTCACTGCAGCTTTTATAAATTCAACAATCCATTCTTACACATCTAAGTATAGATTAAGAAAACATGTGAATTAAGCGGTGTCCCCGTGGTAACCAGTTTGTTAGTACTGCTGTGCATGATGTTGCTGTCTATGACCGGCACACTCAAAAATTAAATAAATGTAATATGCAAACTAAAATACATTTTTATTTCATTGTTAATTTCATTTAAAATATCTGAAAAAAATATTTGATTTACTTTTATTAAGGACTAAACTAATGTTCAAGTTCCACCCAACTACTAGTTAAATGATTTGTTACTGAAATTGTCTTTAATTCAGAGTCCTTAAAGGCACAAAATTGTCAGCAACCTTTTTTTTTAAGCACAAAATGATGAGTAATTTGACAATATACATAAAGACTAGTACTTGCAAAACACATCAACAAATAGAAAAATATTAACGGAAAAAATAAAACATGTAGAAAATAAAATGTGATGTTGCACTGCTGCTCTTGTAGATGTCGTCACAACAGATCTGTAGACAGTAGTGGTGCTCCATTTAAAAATTATGACAAAGTTAAGTTAACAAACTCTCAACAACAACCTGAAGGCTTACATGTTGCGCTTATCAACATATGCAGCAAAAACATTTCCACAACATTTTACACAGAATTCAAATCGTACGTTCTGTTACATATATATTTATATATAACACCCCTCTTTTAAAGGATTTATAAATTCAGTCTGAATTGGGCTCCAATCTAAATACACTTTGATATGGATTCTGCGTTATCCTGATCCGAACCTGTATAAAATATGTGACCCAACAGTAAAAATAAAATGTCATGGAGTTATGTTCAGACATAAGGCAAAGCTGTGATCTTTGCCCTTTCATTGATAACCACAGAATATTACCACTAGTGATGCTAATCCCCCCACAAACTCTATGTCTCTATGTAAAGAGTGTGTTTGTTTCTTTATGTGCATCTGTGTTAGTGTGTTTTAATTTGTGTATGAATAGATTATGACTGTGGGGGTGCACGTGTCCTTGAGTGTGTGTGTGAGCGGCAGCGTGTGTTGAACATGTGCTGGCGTTCTCAGAGGAACAGCAGGGCTCTAATAAGGACTAGTCCTGCATGGCAGCTGGTAAACTCTGTCCTCAGAAAAGGTGTCTTTTATTCATACACAAAGGAATGCAAATTAGTCCCAGTGCCGAGTGGACACTGAGAACGAATCCACATGGCGCACATACTCACTCTCAACATGCATTGAGAGTTTCACTGAAATGCAACTTCCTACAATCAAAAGAAAAACAAGCAGGACTAATGACAAGGCCCACCGGCACAGCTGTTTGAGTTGTTTAGGTGTGAGAGTGTGTGTCTGTGTCGTATGTGTACGTGTTTCCATGTTTCTGTGTGGGTTTCTGTTTGTGTGTTTTTGTGTGTTTGTTTATGTTTGTGTGTTTGTGTGTGTGTGTGTGTGTGTGTGTGTGTGTGTGTGTATTGTATGTGTACGTTTGAGTGTCTGTGTTTGTTTGTTTTTGTGTGTTTGTTTGTGTTTGTGTATGCATGCATGTGTGTGTGTGTGTGTGTGTGTGCGCGATCATTCATCAATTAAAACTTGTTGAATGTAGAAGTTTCAGCAACTAAGATCTCTCTTTCACAAACACACACACATACACACACTCTCTCTCTCACAAACACACACACACACACACACACAGAATTATTACCAAACAATGACATAAAATTAATTTTGAAGTGCCCACAGATGACCTCATCAGTGCTCTTGGTTTTTTTCCTTACATCTTGTGGTTTTCCCAACACATTATCCTCTTTTACAATGATACAGTCTCCTCTTTTCAACATGAAGAGATGGATAATATAAATATCAAGTGTGTGACTTTTCAAGCAGGTCAGATTAGGCCATTCTTTATACAACATTCAAAAAAGTCCTATTGACCTTATGTGTATATAGCCCAGCATTTAGAAAGGGTGTCTATGCCACTTAGTTGAAGGCCTTGAAAACAAGCTGATGGGTTGAGAGTAAAAACATAGATGTGTTCACATGAAAGGAAATGAGCTCTCGACCTCACATACAGTATGTTTTTTGCGTGTCTGTGTGTGTACTTATAATGTCGTTCATTTAATGATGTTTGCCACCTTGAACCTCCCATTCAGTCATAAAAGGCAAAATCATAAATGTAATTGGGATGTTCTTCAGATTATTTAAAGCTGCTCTAATTAGATGTTTTATAGTAATACTGAATTTATCAACTATGTGCTATGACAACACAGTTTCGGGTGAACAACGGGTTGTTAAATATCATCTAACTCAATTGTTTCCACCAGTCATTCGGAGCACTTACCCATTTTCAGCTTATTCTCTTGGTGTTATTGCTGCAATATCATTACTTTCACAAGGAAGAGAAGTTACTATTTTTACATCGATTCATTCACATGGATAAAGAAGGGTCATGCTGAGCTTATAATTTCACAGTCTGGTTTGCTTGAAATTGTGTCCTTGTTAATTCAGTGTCTAGAGGAAGCTTTTTAGGTGATGCATTCATACATTTGTATTAATATAAAGTTTTGTAACTTAGAGTAGCAAAGTCCTAACAAGAGAAACGGATGAACAAAAAAAAAAAAAAAAACATGTATAGTTCTGAGGGAGTTTACCGGACTACAAATGAAAACCACATTTTTTAAAATGGTGTGGCCCTTGCAGCATTTGTATAAAAGAAACAGAAAAATACATAAGTCTAGTCAAAGTCACAGGCACATACCACCACTGCCAGAGTCACAAGGTGTTCAAATCAGACCGATCATAAGGCGTGTCAAAAAAAAAAAATTCCCATCGTGATTTTAGAGGAACTAAAGAAGTACTCAGCATTACAGTTTTTCTCAGTCGCTTTGGTACATTTCTCGAATCATCCTCGACATTTGCAAAACAGTAAGTGCATTTCTCAAAACAATTCGTACAAATAGCAAAACACCATGGATTACCTGCAAAAGCCAGTCTCTTGCTCAAAATCCTTAGTTCAGCTCTCAAAAGTAAATATCTGTATCAATGAACATGTCAGTGCCATCAGAATGACAAGTCCTTGTGTCATTGTGTATGGATAAGACAGTCAAATTGCTTAGTCATGTTGTCAATATAACAGTGTACTCTGGAGGGGTGTGCTGATATAAACTATGGCTAAGTTACACCTTAGTGTATGTGGGAGATTGATTGCAAGAGACTGGAAAAGATTCACATTTACGCTTTTACTGTAATTTGTTGACAGACCATGTCATTCAGATACAGAAAGGAAAAGACAGCACTGCAAAGCACAAAGAAAAAAACAAAAGTAGAAATGTGAACATAGGACAATCTCCTTAGGGAAAACTGTACATGCAGTGCTGTAGGAATTACAGTGCAGCCTTCCTACACCTCCTGACGTTCCTGTCTGTTGGGCCACAAATTCTCATCCACATCACAATGAATATCTTTTCTTGTGATGCAGCATGGAAAGAATCTTTTAGAGTGTCTTATCCAGCCTCTGCTCTGATGTCATCACATGCTGCATCCATGACAGCCAGAAGGGTCATCTGGCGATCATATACTTTCCATCTCCATGCTGAAAAGAATTCCTCAATGGGGTCAAGGAATGGGGAGTAGGGGGAGAGGAACTCCATCAGCATCCTGTTGTGGGTCACAAACCATTGCCTGATGATGTTGGAGCAATGGAAACTGACATTGTCTCAAACTATCACGTACTTTGGCAAGTCATCTCCAATCTGACCCCTCTCTTGTTCAGGGATGAGATCCCTGTAGAGAGTGTATACAAAGGTGACAAGACGCTCTGTATTGTATGGCCCAATAATGGGAATATGCGTTAGCACCCCATTCTCAGAGATAGCAGCACCCATGGTTATGTTCCCGCCCCGTTGGCCTGGCACATCAACTGTAGCTCTGTGGCCGATGATAGTTCGACCATGCCTTGTGCGTTTCGTTAGGTTGAAGCCAGCCTCATCCATGTAGATGAAGTTGTGCGGTGGTTCACTTGCTTACAGTTCCATTATACGCTATATCCAGAAGACACAAAATGAGTTTTATGAATTACATGCATTTTCATTTTGTACAAGATACAGTTACATCAAATGTATACAGCACATATTGCATCTTCTTTTCTACAGTCATAGCAAATGTGTAAAGGTCACACTTACTGTATATCACTATACGATGTACTGTTTACTGTGAGGTACAGTTACTGCATGCTCATACATGTTTTACCTGTACATACTGGTAGCGCAGCTCCTTCACCATTTCTTTCAAATGGAAGAGTGTACAGCTGCTTCATATTAATTTGGTGTCTTTTCAGCACCCTGTCAATGGTTGAGATGCTGACTATGCAAGTGCTGTTACATAAAACTTAAAGTTCATGAGTCATAAATGATTTCATATTGTCATAATTTCATGTATTCAATACATAATTCATGTATGTTAAGCTAAAACGTTAAAAACTTTATGTTTCTATGTGGAACTAAAGTTCCTTGTTTTGGTTACGCTACGACGGAATTAAGGGACGGACATGTACGGTGAGCACCTTACCTCCCGCGAATTTGTGTAAACATGCATGAAGACTGTTACCACTGATGTCTGAAGTTTAAGCAGACTGTGAAAGACACTTTACAAGGACTTTAAATGAGTCAAGAACCTCTTTTCATGACAAGCAGTGCAACGAGGTATTTGTTTTATGTCAAATGTACTTTTGTTTGAGCAGATAATTATTCTGTAATTTGTATAAGATTTTATCTTTAAATATTTCTTGATATATTTGCCAATACAGTTCTCACAGCGTGGTCGGCATGATTGGTATGTGATACAAAGATGAAGATGCTTCACAAGATTGCTCCAGCAATAAATGCCCGTTTCAAAGAACCACCCTGTGTCTGTTGTTGTGAAGAGAGCTACAGTTTGGATGTTTTCAAAGATGTTGTTGTCCTCTATAATGGCACTCTTTATCTCCCTTAGTCTTATGGCATTGTTTTCTACAACCATGGTGCAAATAGCCTCCTCCTGTTCAGGTGTGAAAAGGAGCCCTCTGCCACCCCTGTGAAGTTGTCTTGCAGTCCTATGTGGAAAAAATATAGTAATGCAAAACACAAAATTGAGTAAGATAAAATGTCACAGTATAAAGTATACTTACTGTATATTGTAAAATGCAAGTGGAATACTGTAATATTGTGTGAAGCATTACAGAAAGTGTACAGTATTACAGTACAGTGCCTATTGTTAGATTACATACCTGTTCTGTCGATGAAAAGTCTGAATGATTGAGGACAACATTTGGCTGCACCTTTTGACCAGCCTCGGCCATTGTAAGCCCATGATTGAGAACGTGGTCTACAAGTGTGGTTCTTATCTCATCAGGAGCGCGCATATGTCCTCGGCCTCTTCTGCCTCTTCCTCTGTTTTGCCACGCAGCCTCACTCCTCTTCCTCTTCCTCTTCCTCTTCTCTCTGGCTGTTGACCCCGTCCAATTCCTTGTCCCTCCATTGTAACATTGTGTTGTGCTCCGGCTATATATACTTGCCAGTTGATGGTTCATGAGATGCACCTTTGAGCTATTTCAGAAAACTGGTTGATCATTGGTTGATCTAATGCTTCACACATTTCCCTTCATTAGAGAAAGTCAAGATTCACCTGGGAGCAATTTTCCAATTCAGGACAGATTTAGAAAAAAAGTCTAATGGAAATGTATAGAAATATGCTTGACATATTATGACAACTTGTTCAGCCATTTTGCATGTAAAGACTTATGCGATGAACTAATGCCTAAATGTTGTGGGGGTGAGACTATTCAACAGAGACCCATTATAATACATTTTGATCAACATGACATAAGCAATTGATAATGTAGGAAACAGCAGAGAATTGTACATAATCATTTGCATGGATGTACCAAAGCATTTGCAACTTGTTCAAAGAAATGAGAAACATTTTTTTTTGATGTGCACAAGTGACACAATGATGTGAAGATTGAACAAGTAGTTTTGAGAATTTCAATTCTGATCCGAGAAATGTACCAAAGCGACTGAGAAAAACTATAATTCAAACAATGCTGTCTCCATCCTGTGTGTCAGGCTTTTCAAATATCATCATTTAATCATCAAGTTAGAAATCATGAAGACAAGGAGAGTGGTCTCTTACCTGCTTCTTGTAAAGTGTCAGAAGATAACATTTGTTATGAATTAGCCCTATACAATTAAAGATTGATTGATTGATTGATTGATTGACATGATCTGAAAGCATTGCAACGTAGCATAAGTTACTCTAATGGCAAAATAAGCAGGCTTAGACACAAAGGATATCACTACGTAAGTGACATCCAAAGTAGCTAGATAGATAGATAGATAGATAGATAGATGGTTAGTACCAGTTTGTGGCTGTGGTTGGAAAAAAATGATACATTTAATCTTGCTTATAATTCAGCACTGGCATTTGGACGTTTGATATTATTTATATTAATGATGACGGTTACATGAACAGGTCAAGTTCAGTATCATCTTTAAACAGCATGAAAACAATTCAATGTTTAATTTATAGACCATGTATGCTTATATATATATATATATATATATATATATATATATTTATGCTTAAATACAAAACATAAAAAGACAATTAATTGGATTATTGTATCCCTGACAATAAGCTGTTGATCCTTTTTCTATTTTTTGGCAGGTATGAAAAACATTTTTAATAGACCAAATAAAGTACATTTCTTTGATTTTGGTCACTGGGTGAGGACGATCAATTTTTAGGTGTCAGGAAGCAGCGCAGCAAGCCAATGATAGGTATTTACAACATGGTGCCATATAGAAAATGATTTCAGTGTCCTGAGAATAGCATGAATAGATCCCCTGTCAGATGCAGCAGTGAAGGTGACCCAGTGTGAGGCCAGTCAGACATCAAAGGGTGCCAGCTGTTTTCTAAAACTGAGGGGGGGTTGGAGAAGGGTTCCAAGTGGGCCTGAAGAGGAAGATTGAGATGACACGTTGGTTCTCCAGGAGTGTCACTTTGTGTAATAGGGGAGTAGCGGGTATTCATCTGCCTTTAGAGAGAGCAGAAGAACACTACATGGACTTCAATGAGACTTCAGTAATTACTTATTACTGCACATATGGATGAGATGTGTGATGAGGGGACTCGAGGCGTGTGCGGCTCTTCCTCCATCTGAAAACCATCTCCAGGGGTGACTTCAAGAACATCCCTGTAATGCTCCAAGACAAAAGTCTCATTACAGGTAATTATGGACTGCCTATATGCTCCCCCAGCCTCCCCTTTCTGCTTCACCCTCACTACTTTTACCCTGTCATTCAACAGCAGAAGCTGCCTAGGAAAGGGAAGCAGGGATGAAGCTGGGGGAGGGGACTGGGCTATTACCTGGGAGCAGACAGTGATCATGGCCGCTGACGCTTTACTGCACTTCCATTCATGTGGAGTGGCTCACTTGTGGGCAGCAATTACCCACCAAATGAGCCAAACTGGGCCTTGTGACGGAATAGCTGGACTGATGGAGTGACAAGCTGCTCTGTTCTTTGCTTGTGTGCATGGGTTTGTCCTATAGGCTTTCAAACAGAGAACATGTGCTGTGAGTGTATTTGTGCACACTCTCTGCTTGCGTGGCTGTTCGTGCTCCATACAACAACTGATTTAGACTTATGAGCAATGAATTTCATGGACAGTAAACATACACCCACACAAAGTTAGAAAACTATTGCATGGCTGGTTGATTTTTTCAAAATGTACGATAGGTTAAAAAACAATGTAGCAGATTTAATTGTGAAGATATCATGTAAAATGTGTAAAAAATGGTATCTTCAATAGATTTGAAATGAGAAGCTAAATTTATTTTTTTAAGTACATTTTTTTCAACCTTAAGGGTTAAAATCGAATGTTAGGCCTCTGGGGCTAATGGCCATTATTTCAGGGTTTCCAGTGTAATGGGCAGATATCTGAATGACAGATAATTGATATAGAGACCAAGACTTAGTCTCAACAAACCTTGAGATGCAGTGAATTTGAGTAGAGGAGATCTCTACTATCAGATTGTTAAAATCAGGTACAAATAAAGAAATAAAGAAAAATATTTCAGACAACTGTTTCTATGTAAAATTGGTCATCTTAAGGAAGACTGGTTCTGCTTTTCATCATCAAGTATTATCTTGATCTTGGCATTAAAAGGCTTTCTTTCCAGCCTTAAAATAATTGGCTGATACTAGGATTGAGGATATTTTACTGGTATGTTAATGGTTATCTAATGCATTTTTTTATCACATACATTTTTATTTGCAGCACACAAAAAACCCATAGCTGTAAAAACCCTGTTGTACTGTACACGTCCCTGCACACACGCCCTGATACCCTCACACCATGAGTTCGCCAGTGTGGAGCTGGTGCAACAGGCAGGGCTGTCATCCACAGATCAGAGGCAACAATGGCGCCGTCCTCGGCTGTCTTTGAATATGTCACTGTGGGAACAGCATAATCAACCCTGTGTCACCACCAGCTGCTCCATCCAGACCACATTAGAATAAACAACAGGCAAGGAAGAAGCACAGCTTTAAAGAGGGGAGACAAGTGGGTAGAAGAGAAAGCAATACACTTGTCTTTTCCGCCACCAATGGAAAGATGATATTGTTCCGGGTTATTTGGCTCAGTGTCAACCCTGAGCTCCATCTGTGGCCGCTGGTGAATTGGAAGGCATGAGGCAAAACCTGAACCATTAACTAAAGTGAGGAAAGGGCATGAAGAACTTCCTCTGCTCAGCTCTGTGGCACACCGCAGTCTTCAACAGAATATAATTGACTATGTTCAGGAACTAGACTAGACTAGGACAATGATTATTTTACATTTTTGGAACAGGATGTAGGATGCACAAGCCTATAGCACTTTATTTTATTACTGATTTCCCCTCCCATCACTGCCTTTACTTGTGGATGAGCTTTTCTCGTTCATATAAGTGTGTCTAAGCAGTTTGCTTGAAACAGCAGCAAAGACTTACCAGTACCTCCTCAATCTGAGGATAAAGGAAGCTGCAATAGAAGAGGAATGAAAGCAGAAGAGTCCAAGCACCATGACCACAAGAGCAGTCATTGTTAATATTTTTTGAAAGATATTCAGGCAAGCATATGTATGACAACAATGACATGTCCTTGGAAAACTCTGGCAGAATATGCGTGGTGGTTTTGTCATCATCTTTGACAAAGGACCAGTACTACCTGTACAGAGGACGCCATGCTTCCAATCTTTCTGAGGTCGTACACAGGTCGTCCTAAAACAGGCAAAAAAATAACCATTTGTGACAGGCATGGCTCCAAAAAGCCAAAATCTGTTGAACCTACCTTGAACAAACACTGAGAGAGCAAAATGTCCCACTGCCATTTCCCATATACAGCAAATTACATTAAATATAGGCTGTGTGATGCATATACCATTCCCTTTTCAGCCTGTTTGAAGTGCCCTCTCACTAGCCAGAATCTCTTCTCATCTCCAGTACCTGTGAATTATACAAAATGATACGTTCACCATTGATTTTATCAGACCACTGTAGTCGCTAGTAATCCCATTATAACATGTCTGTTAGTACAATAGCCAGATATGTCCTGAATAAAAGAAGCCTTTCTCTGCCTTGTCAAAGGTAGGCTGCGTACCAAATTACTTCTTCAGAAGTTAAAAGGCCCAGTTCCTAATCACTCTATTATACCAGGCTAATAGATGACCAGTAATTGCAACTAATAACTTATTACTCATCTACACAAATATTCTAATAGCTTGTATTTAGAAGCCAATTTTTTCAATGAACAGTATGAAAGAGGAGGGGGTCCTATTCACAAGCCAGACAGAGAGCAACACAAAGAAATACTCCCACAAAG